AAGTCTCCCCGAGGGCTTCCTGCACGCTGGATGAAGCTTTTTACCAAATGAGCTCTGTCCCCAGCACCCCGCCAACTTTGCATAATTTTAAAAAATTATTTATAGTTTAAATTTGAGTTATTTTATTTCCTGTGTATGGGTGTTTTGCCTGTATGTGTATTTTTACACTACATACATGCCTAGTGGCCACAGAGGCAAGAAGAAGGTCCCAGATCCTTGGAATGGAGTTACAGTTAGAAGCTGCTGTATGTATTGAACCTGGGTCCTGTGCAAAAGCAGCCAGTGCTTTTAACCACTGAGCCATCTCTCCAGCCCTATCATCCATCTATCTATCTATCTATCTATCTATCTATCTATCTATCTATCTATCTATCATCTATCTATCTCTTTTTTGAGACAAGGTCTCTCTGCATAGCTTTGGCTGTCCTGGAACTCACTAATTCCCGAGTACTGGGATTAAAGGCGTGCCCTACCATACCTGACCTGTTTTTTAAATTATGTGTATAAGTGCACATTAATGCAGTGTTTGCAGAAGTCAGAAGGTAACAGATCCCCTGAGCTCCAGTTACAGGTGGTTGTGAACCTGTGTGTGGGGGTGCTAGGAACTAGGAGCCTATGTGCAAGCATCCTCAAAATGCTTTGTGATGTTATATTCTCGGTGTCCACTGTAATTGCCCATGTAAATAGTCATGAGTTCATTGCCAAGTTCAATTGCTGCTCGCTGCAGCGTCCTTTCTCCTTTAGGCTTTATGTTTTATAACTTGGTGTGACTTCACGTCTATAGCTGTCCTCAGTTTATCACCACGCACTCTTGATTTCTCAGGATAGTTCCACTGGAGTAGAACTATTGCTTGTTAACTGTTTTTTTTTTAATTTAATTAATTGTTTTAGAGATTTATTTTTGTTTTATGTGCATTGGTGTCTCACCTGCATGTGTCGTGTCTATGTGAGGGTGTTGGATCCCCTGTAACCGGAGTTACAGACAGTTCTGAACGGCCAGGTGGGTGCTAGGGACCCAGGTCCTCTGAAAGAGCAGCCAGTACTCTTGCCTGCCGGGCCATCTCTCCAGTCCTTGTTAACTGTTTTTGTCATTTATGATGGACCCTGTGAGCTCTAATTCACTGCTCACAGTGATCACTGCAATGGTTCCCTGGAGGATGAGAAAGCAAGGTCAGAGAGAAAGCCGGAGGGCACCTTCTCTAGACCACAACCTGGTAAAGGGCAGTGGTGGCATCGAAACCAGGTGGTTTGCTGCAGAAACCCGACTTCCCCACATCCAGGGAGGTCTGTTGCCTGGCTTAGATGGGAAGACCCACCCGCTGCTGCAGGTTTTCTTGCAAAGCCAGAGGCAGGGCAAGGTTGCTTGTCTATCTCACGTTGATACACTGCCCCCACGTGGCCACATCTTTGAACTTCATCCCTGTTTGATCTCCCAAACCATGAAGCCCTCCCTCCCTCCCTCCCTCCCCCCTCTCTTTCTTAAAGCAGGGTCTCAATATGTAGCTCTAGTTGGGTGGGAACCTACTATACAGACCAGGTTGGTCTTGAACTCACAGAGCTTTGCCTGTGTCTGCCTCCTAACAACCTGGGCTATTGTTATTAAGGAAGATTCCACAAGAATTTATGCAACAATTCCCTAGATCATCAACAGATGAAGACTAGCGTTATTAAAATTGCCTCTGAGTGGAAGAGTCAGTTCCTTTTTTCAGGGTCTGTTAGACATGGAGTTAAGAAGTTGCCTTTGAAGGGGCTGGAGAGATAGCTTAGTAGTTAGCACTGGCTGCTCTTCCAGAGGTCCTGAGTTTAATTCCCAGCAACCACATGGTGGGTCACAGCCATATATAATAGAATCTGATGCCCTCTTCTGGCATGCAGGTAAATATGCAGAACATATTCACACATAAAATATAAATAAATAATTGAATTTAAAAAATAGAAGCGGTCATTGGCTTTAAAAACTTTAGTTTCGCCCCTAAGGAAATCATCAAAAGGGATCATTTCCCCTCAAGCGTGGAATAGCAGAAGTGTGGCTGAAGGTAACAGGTATGTTCAATATATTCTAGGGATCTGTCTCTCTCAAAAAATCAAATATGGCCGGGCGTTGGTGGCGCACGCCTTTAATCCCAGCACTCGGGAGGCAGAGCCAGGCGGATCTCTGTGAGTTCGAGGCCAGCCTGGGC